ACGGAGTTTTACTAATATATCGATTAGGAATACATCATCGGTTTTCGATTTTTTTTTTTTTTTTTTGCTCTATAGATCAAAAGGATTTTAGAGATTAATCGAAAATTGAAAGAAAATGAATTGGAAATTGTTAATCACTTTGTGAGTAATGCATAATTAATGGGCTAAAGGTTAAAGTTCAAAGTGGAAGACTATACATAATGTTTGAAGCAAAATACGCATTGTCTTTAATGCATTGTTCAAAAAAAAACCTTTTAAATGGTTATATATTTACTCCGTATTTTATGAACTTATAGTTTCTTTCAATCAGTCTGAAAAAATCTCGAAATATCAAAGATGACAAATGATATTATGCAAAAAAATTTTTAAATATCAAAGATGATAAATGATATTACAGTATGGTTACAAATAGGCTAATAACTGGATATGTATGGGTTTTTATGTTTTGAATTCCTCTACCAATGTTAAATTATTGTGAAGAATTTGTTGAAAAGCAAAAATGAAGAAATTTTTCATGCGCAAAAATGAATGTCATCTGGTACAATAAGCGCCTATTCACTTTCATATGAATCATTTAACGGTCTTTTTCTTTTTTATTGTGATTTGTAAGTGCAAGATTTTTACGTTATTAACAATATTTTACCTTGTTACAAATGATCGAATGGTACTGAAAATCACCTTTTTCTTTTTCTTTTTTTTTTGTTTTCATCAATTTAAAATGAAAAGTTACTTCTTCTCTTTTTATTCTTTCATGCATCCTTGATATATTTGCTTAATCGTTGAGTAATTCAAATCTTTTTAAGATGTTGAAATTGAATTTTGGATGAAATTGTAAATTTGATCTATCTAAGATTTTAAATGAGTATTCTATATTCATCGAAAGCTGGAGACGGAGATTGAAGAAATTGTAGTCCTTATCAGTTCGAAAAATAATTATAATATCAGTTGTTCATTTCTTATTTCGTTAATATTCACTGAATTAATCTGACTTTATCAAGTTTTCACAAATGTGAATATGACAAGATGTTGCTGTCACATCAGGTATATCGAAAATTCACAGAGATTCCATGAGCATATGCAAAATATTTTTAAGTTATATACATCTCTTATTATCAGTGATATCATAAACTGTTTTCCCAGGGCATCTATAATTGTTTTATAATATTATAGGTTGAGTGATAATATTTTATGATTACTGAGTGATAACAAATTTCAATTTTAAATTGATTTACCTAAAGAAATTTTAAACAAACATTCTAAGCTGGTCGAGAACTAGAAATCAAAGAGATTGTAGTTGTTATCAGTTCGAAGTGATAATAGTGATAATGTTTCAAAACTTTCCAAAAAGAAAATAACCTTGCATTCTACATATTTCTAAGTGCTTTTTTCTTTTTAATGCATTAATCTCAATCTAAAACTTTTTGTTATCTGCATTGTTGAGCTTCCTCTTTTTATTTTTATCAGTAGAAATATGTAAATAAAAGAAATGAATGAAGAAATTGCAAAACGAAAGGAATCGAATGGTTGTTTTCTTTCGATCTCTGGTTTGACTTGATCCCGTTATCCGGTTTGGTTTGTTCTTGTTGTTCGGTCTAATTTGATCTCGCTAATCTCAGCAACATCGCCAAAATTTGGATTTCAAATAAAAACAATCTTGAAACTTTCGATTTGATAACCTCAAAAATCTTCAAAAAAAAAAAACGGAAAAGTCGTGCTTAATAAAAATTAATTTGTATAAGTAGAAGGACTTTGTCACTTCCAAACCTATCTTATTCTATTTTATCCTAACATCTTCTTTAATTACAATTTCAGATTGATTTTTTTTTTCAAACAATCTTTCCTAAAACAATTATGTTTATGATTTTCAATTATAATTTCAGGTTTGATATGTTTAATTTTTCTTTTTTTTTTTTTTGCCAAATACCATGATGATGATGATGATATGAAAAGTTTTTGGTATTTATGAGCTCTTGTTGTTCCACTAAAAAAAAAAAAAAAAAAAAACTAGAGCAAAGAAGGTACCAACCTCTCTCCATTCCGCGGAAGAAAACAAGATATCTTAAGGAACAAAAGGAAGAGAGAATTACTACGTTTTCTAAAAAAAAAAGATAATTTAAATTAATTACTTAATGTTAGATGACGATGGAGTACAGGTAAATGTGGTCTTATTTGAGGGTAAAGAGATGACAGGGGAGGGGCGGTATTGGTATGACTTATTCATGGAATGTACCACCGCTCACTTTTTCCAACACTTGCAAATAATGGAAAAAGTTGGAAGAAAAAAAAAAAAAAAAAAAAACTTAGAACAAATAACAAAACACGATAAGAAATTTTCTGCACCTATTAAACCGCCCAACTGCACACCTGCCCCACCCCGTCCTTATACTGATCCGGAATTGATAGGACAGACAGGAAAGGTCCTTCTCACCATTATTATCATTATTTCAAAGTACATTCTGGAAAAGAAGATACATTAATATGCGTATATATGTGTGTTTGTATATGTGTGTATGTGTGTGTGTATGTGTGTGTGTGCGTGTGTATGTGTGTGTATGTGTGCATGCTTGGTAGTTGGATGAAATTTTAATAAATTTTTAAAGCAAAGTAAGTAATGATTGATGCTATCTATGCATTATTTACTTTAGAAAAAGAATCATCATAAATGCTTTAAGGATGATGAAATGGATATGAGTGAGTAACCTTTGAACTTTTCAATATCACAACTTCTCAACTTTTCAACTTTCCAATCTTAATGCATAAGCAGTATCGAGATATCTATAGAAATGGATCTGAGAGGGTGGAAGTTGATTGTAATTTGAAGTGATTAATACATTTTGAAAATAAAATAGTTTCAAGATTAAGTGATAAAATTATCACTCCATTATCATCTTTAGTTTTATCTTCTCATAGATACAAGTAGAAAAGAAAATTGAAAATAAGTGAAATTCAAATGTATCATTCAAATTGTAAAGTCTGTGAGGAAAGAGAAATGAAAAAGGAATAATTAATTTGAATAAAAATGTCAATTTTCTAGTATTTTTATCAAATTATTTGATAAAATTTTTTTCGTTTAGGAAAAAA